TTTCGCTTCAACTCTTGTTTGAAATGTCCCCGATTACCTGTAACAATAACCTCATCCATTTTGGTAATTACTCTTTTTGTTGCTGTGTTTCTAATGGTTATGTGGGGGGACTCCAAACGTGCAGAGAACGACCGGACAGTTGCAGATGTCGTCATGTCGTGCTTTAAGATTGTGATTGGTTTTTACCAAGTCATCGCTGGTATTTTCTCGGCATTGGCGAAAGTCCAGTGGCCAGTAATTTTGATCTCAACGGAGAAGGTTCTAAAAGTATTTGAAGGGAACATCTTGCAGTTTTTCCCTCTTAGTTGCATTCAGCCTTCTCTACGGCTTGATGAGCTTGGAAAGTTCACGATGATTGTTGTCATGAATGTCTCACTCATTAGCTTGATTTTCTTGTATCTATTTCTTAAAAAACACTACATCATGAATAAGGAGGACCTTTGCGAAGACCAGAAAGTAATGGAAGTTAAGAGTTTGAAGAAATCTTGCTATCGGAACATTTTCCTATTATTGTTGACGACCTACCCCACGACGAGCAAATCGATTATTCAGATTCTACCTCTTCCCGGTGCTTGCGTAGAGACTTGTTTCACAGACGACAAGAGCGACTGCATCTTCCTTCTGAGAGCTGACCACTCAATCCAGTGTTTCACTCCTCGCCACAGCTTCTATTGGCTCATGGCTTCTATTTTGGCATTATATCCCTTGGGATTTCCACTTCTGGTTCTGTTTCTCACTTACAAGTATCGCGATTCCCAGGAAAATGAAGCAATTTCTTTCGGACTCAGAGTGTTCTTTGAAAACTATAAGAAGAAATTTTGGTTTTGGGAAATCACAGAGATGTATCGCAAGCTGGTTCTAGTCTCGTTGATTTTTCTTCTTGGATCAAACAGCCTCTCTCAAATTGGTCTTACAATTCTGACAGTTAGTATCTTTGGAGTTATCTACACCTTATTCCGACCGATCAAGAATAAGTTTGAAGACTGCTTGCAAACTTTTGTTCTCTGGATCATTTTCTTTGACGTTTGTCTTGGCGCAGTTTACACAAACTGGGATGAGAGTCGAGGAGAGGACAAGAACGACTCCATCTTTGTAAATGTCCTGTTCCTGGTCCTTAACGTCTCTGTTTTGTTGCTTGCTATTGGTAAGTCAACGTGCTGCTCTCTTTTCGATCTTAAATGTGCATTTTACTCATTTGCCAAATAAATTAAGGAAAGGTTGCGTGGATTGTGGTGGTTTTCTCAATTCCTGAGATTTTTCTTTTTCCGCGCAATGAAAGTATTATGATAAAATCGTAAAGTATCCAGGTTGTTTATGATATTTGACTCTCTATAACACTGGCTCACACAACTGTAACCTTAAAACAGATCGCGATGTTCGGTCAATTCTTCTCGCAGCTTAACTTTTCCTGTAAGTGGAACTTTTAGACCTTGTAATCCTGATAGCTGAGTTATTTTCTCTTTTCATATGCTGTAGTGTTCCAACATTAGAAAGTATTGGTAGAAGACAGAAAACTGCGAGTTACAGATGGAGTATTATGAATATTGAGATCTTAAAAAGAAATTCAAACCATTGAGCTGACGAAATGTCAACACCCATTCTCAAAACGCTTCTCAGCATGAGCGAAAACAAACACAAATTTCAGTAAAAAGGGACACCTTACCTTTTCTAACGCCTTCATGTAAGATTTCAATTACATATCTTAATAATTAACTCTGTCTTTTTTTCCCTACTTTACAGGAAAAGGAATTCTACACGTGAAATCAATTTGGAAGTACATTTCCTTGAACCCGATCCGATGTTTCATTTTCCTTCGCCAAGGAGTATCACGTCTTAAAAATAGAGTGGTCAAAAGAACAGGAACATCTGATGAACTTTCATACTTCATTGAAGAAAGCAACTGAAGAATTTAACGAAATATTTGTCTCAAAACTATCTTCCTAAGCCTCATGAAATATCTCGCTTTAGATGGCTTAAAAATTTAGAGCTTGTGAGACTTCCGGATGACATTTCATTGCAACTAGAGGCACAAGCGATTTCCACAAAGGTTGTGTTCTTCAGAACGGAACTCGTTTTTATTTTTAAGTCTTTAGTTCAAATTGAGATAATAAGATAGTTTATTTTCAGATAATAAGATAGTTTATTTTTTAGTTTAAAAAAACATAATAACGTTTTGGATAGTTCAAGAGTAGGATCTCTCGCACTATTGCGCATATATGACTTTGACAAACCATATATTTTTTTAAAAGTAATAAAGCACTCTTTCTTTCGATGGCTACTGAGTCGATTGATATGTTTAAACGTTTTGTATAAAGTCCTTAGAAACCTTTATTCGTATAACAGATGATGTTGGAATGTATCATTTTCAATCACCATGTCAGCCAGGGAGGTTGCCATAAGTAGCTAATAACAAAGCACAAGCATGCTCGTGATATACGCCACAGCTCGTGCCATACGTGTTTTGATTGTTTTTTGTTTTTTTTCTTTTAACGTTTTGCGGCTGTTGCGTGGAACAGCTTTCATTGTCACGCGTGTGAATCTCCATGTTGACTTTACTTTGTGCGTGTGAATCTGTCGTTCGTGGCGCCTTATTATCTTAAATATCTTGAAAGGTAACGCGATGTTTAACACAAAGTAGAATCCAATGAGACCAGAAGCATTTGGAGAAAAAAAACGTCGTTTTATACTTTCAAAGCTCTCCATGTAGCATTAAAGATAATTCACACACCCCGAGTGTGGCGACGATTGCTAAAGGCCGAGTTTTTGTCATGCGGTTAATGTGCTTGAAGGGAATAAACAATAGCAAAGAACCAAAGCAATCAGGCTAAGCGTTGTCAGCGACAATCCTACGCAAAATATTTCTGCGCTTCAGTGAAAAAAAGAACAGGTTGATTTTGCCTGCAAGGCTGATTGGACAGCTTAACCGACCAAAATGTCGATGAGAACCAACGAGAAAATTAATATGTTGAAGACAGTTTGGACAGCACAGAATTTAGGGATAATTACCAGTATGAGTCCATTCCCCAGTATGGCTAAAACTCCAGGCACGGGGTTGACGACGCATATGGCGAGGAGATAATCATTAGTGTTGGTGATAGCCTGAAGTTTGGACAGCTCTTGAGACAGAGTGGAATCTAGACAAGATGTGTTTGTTTCATCAATGGATTTCATTCGGTACCTAGATGTATGCCCCAAATAGATTTATTTCGGTATCTACGCTGATATTAAGAACGTCAATTTGAATTAATTACAAGAGTGGAGCTGCCATATTGTTGAACATTTTTTATTTTCACAGGCAACCGAAAAAGTTTTACAACAATTTTATATTCATGTTTATTGATAGAAAAGATAAATTGGCTTATAGATCAAAATGACTAAAATGAAACACGCATGATCTATATATACATATCACATATCATATCTTAACCATTTATTCATCACCTCACGGGTTTATTTAGAACCAATATCATGACCTGCTCCCTGTTGGCTTGTTAGCTCAGTTGGTAGAGCGCTGCACCGGTATCGCAGAGGTCATTGGTTCAAATCCCGTACAGGCCTGAATTTTTTTCAGGCCTTATTTTCACTACTGCTTAAGTAGTGTACATTAATGCGAGGATCACTTTCATTCACAAGCATTTGCTACAATTTCCCACAATTAAATTGGCTTATATAACTAAGATAAATTAGACTCTGAAGTCGAACTTTATTCGAGATTTCGACTGAAAGAGAACATGCATGAAGACATGCACGCACGATGAAAATTTCACAATTATTGTTGTTACCGAATTTATGCCCGGTTCCTTTCAAAGTCACAGATAAATGCATGCATTGAGATGTCGTAGTTCCTGTTAGTTTACCTTTCATAGAATATTCTTTTTTTTATTCATTTTTTTGCAAGTTCATACACACAACGTGTAGATCGCTTCAGGCATTTTCAGGTTACTCTCAACACACAAAGTAAGCAAACTAAGTTCTGGGTGATTTCTATCCTTATTTAAACTCCAACTGGTTTTTCTTGAGGGACAGTCGTGCTCCTATTTACAACACAAAAGCAGTGAACAGGATTTTCGTCTGAGCGTTAATGATCGATGAATTTAAAGTTTTCTTTAATGCTAATCACTTTCCTTTACCTGTTGTACTTTTATATATGTACTTTTCTATGAAACACTACAGATGATGGATAGGGAGAAACACGAGAAGAAAGCGGAGAAGACAAAGTGTTTTCTTGCCGAATCTATCGTAAAGGTTTTTCTAAAGATGACTTGTCATTAATATGATTTTCAAAAAAAATTGTTCAATCTAGAAAAGTTTGACCGCTCTCATACCCATGGGGAACGGGCGGGATCAAAAGCGTTTCATGGGTCACACACTTTATGATAGGAATAAAATTTTTCCGCGCTTATGTTTCTACGGTTAACTTTTTTGCGACTTTCGGCAAAATTTTTGGCTGTTTTACAGCTAACGGTGAACACTAATGTGACCCCGTTACATTACCGGTAATAAAAGGCAATGAAAGCTTTGAAACTTAGAACACGGTGAACCCTAAAAGTATCATTTACTGAGCAGGAAAAAAAAACGGCTGAGCGTTAGATAATTAAAACCACAGAGAGCAACAGTAAGCACCCTTTGGTGATGAGTTTTGCTCTCATGCAATCAACTTTGCTGTCATAATTGATATTTCAAGAAGTTTTCTGAACAACGGTCTGGTCTTGAATACGCTATGCGACTCACCAAAACAGATTACTAAACACGCGTTTCAGTCCTCTCTCATTTTTACCAAAACCTGTGTTTTAACTAATGACTTTCATGAAAGCGCTGTGTGTAGGGAAGAGTTCAAAGACTCTCGCCCGCTCTGATTCCCTCGTCACAAGAACGTAATCTACGTATTTACTCAAAGTTACTAAAGTTATCTTTAATGATTATTCAGTGTTAGATCTTAAAACCTTGTTTTACAGAATCATTGGTTGCAAGGCGACTCTTTTTATGTCTTTCCATGCCTACCTTTTTCCCACATACTTTTCTTGAGTCTTGACTGTTGTTTGTCCTGTTCGTCTATCACTGTACCTTGATTACAATCTCAAAACAGAGAAACATGATATTCTCTTCATTGAAATATTGAATTTTCAGCATACGTGTTCGATTCTAATTGATTAAAGAATGAAATGAAATTAGAGTGACTACATTAACGTAGAATGTAAACCCATCGTTGATGTAAGGCCCTCCCTTGTTTCTAGGAAAGAACAGATCAAACTATGCCCAGCTTGATAATAATCGATATAATCTTAATTTAAATGATAATGACCAATACCATCATTCATAATGATTGCTTTTTAAAAAGCGTGCAGTCAATGTAATGGTAATTAAGATAAGGAACAATGGCTGCTAACGCTAAAAGCTCACAAGAGCCAGCCTACATTGAAATGAGCGTACAAAGATGACAAAATGCTAAACTGGAAGTCATGTTAATGGGGCAGGGGGGGGGAGAGGATAAGTTTCTCAAGAAACTGTGGTGCTGCGTCGATGCGTGGCCGTGTGGGGCTAACAGGAAAATTTCGTTTTATCAAGTGAGCTGACAATACAAACTGGCCACCATAAAGAGTTTTCAGAGCTGACGTCTCAATCGTTGGAACGAAGGGCTAACTCTTTAGAAACTCTAGACAGTGGCCGATTTACATTTTTCACTGAGTCGATAAAACTAAAAAATCTTTAGGCCTGGATGGTGGCTAACAAATTTGATATCCTGAAAAAAGCTGATTTGAGCTAATAGGACGAGTGCTTACAAAAGATTCGACTTCATTTTTGTTGAATGTTGTTACACGCATTTGTGAGGAAGATCCATAAATGTCAAATAGGAAAGGACGAAAACTACACCGTTATGATTGACAAGCAAGAACAAATCTAGAGAGGGAGGACAGACTGAAATACAGCCGGGTCAATCAGATAGGAATCACAAGCGCTGAAACTCGAGAGCTGGCTGAGCTATGCTAGTTGATCGATTACCTTAAAAACTGGAGGAATGGGCGGCAATTTTCCAGTTCTAACCCACACTTTGGTTTCTAGAAGACAAAAATAAAACATAAACCCTTTAACTCTTAGTTCAAATTTGTAATTCTCCTTACTGTCAATCATACAATTCTTATAGTTTTAGTTCAGAGAGCTTAGTATTGGATCAGCTAATTATTCCCAAAATTGATATTTTTCTCTATTTTTATCTCTTGTCTGGTTGATATTGTATTGATATTGTAAGGAGAAATTCTCTCTTGGTCACCCTTGGAAGTGAAAGGGTTAAAGAAACCAGCACTGGTTTTTCAAAATATAAAACAACATGTACCAGGAGCTATACATAAGATTGATAATTAATCAATGAGGATAGATTTTCTGAATTTTTCATTGCTATATTTTTATTTGTTTTGTTTTTCATTCGAAGCTGCTTGTTAGAGATGGTCAAGAAAGCAATTTGGAAAATCGTTGTACTTAATTCTAAAACATTTCTCGATGTATTTCACACCGTCGGTTGAAAAACTATTCGGAAAAAGAAAATGTTTGAATTTAAAACAATTTCGGGAGATATGTAGGACTATAATCACAGAGATAAATATAAGATAAACAGGAACTAATGATATGATTAGCTTCCTTGGGTTTAAGTTGGAATATTATGGAGCAGAACCCACAATTCCATCTAATATACAGAGCAGGATATTAGGTTAGCTCTAATTATAAATGTTTCAAAAATAATTTAAAGTGAAACAAATGTTTCTTAATCCTCCCTTTTTTCCTTCTTTCTTCCTTTCTTTCTTTCATTTCTTTTTTTTTTTTCCTTTTTTTCTCCCATTCTTTCTTTCCTTCATTTCTTTTATTCTTACTTTCTTTCTTCTTCGTTTTTTCTTCTCAACTCTCTTTTTGGGAGACAACTTACCACCAGCTGGTAAATTGCAAAATGGTGGGTCCACATTGCATATAGTGTCGTCCCTGCTCCTTAAAATAACCTTGCCGTCTAAGACCACTTCGTATTGCATGGATGCTTCAAGAACATCTACCGCTATTAGAAGCAAGCACTAGTTAGAACGTGGCACAGATCTTAGTGTAATGAAAAAGCAATATCTGCTGTACAGCAAGGGAAGTTGGAGAGGGAAGATTTCAGTTGAACCCGCCAAGTTGAGTCAGCAATCGTTGAAAAGTTTAATAAATACAGGAAATAGAAAATTATTTGCGATTAGATTTAACAACTTTAAGCACTGCAGGATACATAATTGACAATCATTTAGTATACCCTGGCGATATGAGCTGACTTGAAATCTCATTTCCCGATGCCTTTGATTCCGAAGTTTCGGAGAACCTCTTACTTGCAATCGCACTCAGCGCTCTCCCGTAACCTCGATTCTCAAATCCTGGATATTTTATAGTTATACACCCTTAGTCAAATTGTTAAGAAAGGGGTTAAATTTTTGGCTTGGTCTTTGAACAAAGTAGGATGTTAATTATTTTGGTCTCGAGTGTGGGAAAACCTGATTCCCCGATTAGAATATATGTAAAACCTTGGAGCGTTGGGTTCCGTCGTCCGATGCTCTACGAAACTTCAAGGTTCAAACGAGACATTGATATATGTCTTGCAATTTGTTTTGTATGCTGTAAGGATATGCAATGTCGGTATGTATCCATATCGCCTAATCAAGGAAGATGCTATCCGCAGTTTTAATCAGTCCTGTGGTCGTTTAGCCGTTGAATTTCATAAGCCCCTCCTTCTGCTTCTGTAACGATATCACTTTTAATTGAAAATCCATAAAAAATATTAAAACACCTCCATGTCAACTTCAACTTACCAGGTGTAAATGTCATATTAACTTTAAAATGATTTCCAGCTGGAATGAAAGGCCATGGAGAAACTTTCAACGTTGGAGGCTTATCGTACTTTCCTAAAAAGAATGTAACAATGGAGCATCACCTTGGGCTACAGAAAAACAAAATTAGTTTCCAATTGACTCTTTCATGAGTGAACGGTTGATGCCATTCATTTTTCCCTATAGTTCTAACTTACTTCAGTCCAGGCCCCACGAAAACCTTAGATACAAAGCAATATATGGAAAAATATATTACGTTTTAAGTTTGTTTTTTGCGACAAATGAGTAGTCTTATTCTTAGCTGGTTTTGACTAAACAGCTGGTGGGCAATGGAGAGGGAAATGAAAAAATAATGGAGATGGAGTAATAGAACCCGGAAATCAGATAATTGGGAAAGTAGTAAGTCAGTTGTTAAAAAGAAAATCGACAATTCTTTTTTCTAAGTCTCCATTTTCATTTTTCATGGTAGCATTCTGTAATTTTTTTCCTAAACAGTTTATAGGCTAAATTAAAAAAAGTAGCTTACCACAGAATGTCACATTAATCATTTCAATTCCAGAGCGATATCCCCATGTTCCACTGATGACAAAAACGAACATGCTCAACACTGTAAATTAAAGGAATTTATCGTTAATTTGACGCGGCCTTTTGCAATGAGGGTTTGATAGCCTCTTTGAGATACAGTTCCAAAAAAGTCTGTAAAGGTAAGCTTTTGGCTAAAAGGCTTGAAAAGTAAGTTTTCATCATGATTTGTGCCAAAATTAAAAAAAAAAAAAAAAAAAAAAAAAAAAAAAAAGGCGGCGGGTTTAACGAATTCGATAACACTTGGAAAAAAATTGATGGATAAGGCTGAACCGATCTATTGCTGAGAAGCCTTCAGCGCTCCATTGATAATATCTTACCATATACATAATTTCATACCAACCACGAGAATTATTAGAGATGCCGAAAATAGGGGAAAATAGGTTTAAGATCCTCATTTTTCAATCAAAACCTTAGTCCTTCTCGGGGGGAAGTTATGAAACTCTATAGAACAACTGAGGCAATACGAGAGCTTTCCCTGATTGGTCAAAAACCTTTCGTGTCTATTGCACCGGTGAACCCATGAGAAAAAAACATGCTCATTTTAATGTTTGATGAAGAAATAGATGCACTTTCTGTCTGTTTACCGGCGCAAGAACCAATTCGGGATGTTGGGAATACTCGAAGTCACAGTTTGTTTCTCCTATTTTCCCGACATCTCTCGAGGGTTATCACGCCGGTACGCTGATAGAAAGAGCGGTCAATTGCCTTAATGAGAGAAGGCGTAACATATCCATTTAGAAAAATGAAATACTTATGCCATCGTTACGATTCAGTGGATTCTTTTAATTATCATCCCAAGATTCTAAAAGGCACTAGTTACGCCAATAAGTACTTGTACGAAAGCTATTGAGCTGTTCCCAGAGGGTGGAGTTTCTAATTGCTTAGAATAAAGAGCTTTCAGCTAGTGCAGACTATTGCGCTTGTTTTGATCTATCCCTTTTATGGTACCCATTCAGTCGAGAGGCAAATTTACTTTTCCCCCGCTAGTGTATTGTAGCTCTTGTCACAATTTTGGTAAGTTACTTATAATAAATATAAGGCAACGAGTCTATTCTTTACGACTGGATCTTTCGATTTTTGAAGCTGCGCGCAGCTACTTAAGGTAATAAATAAGGGATGGATCTTTACCATAGTGGTGAAATAAACTTTCTATTCAATCGAATATTTTGTCCATTCATGATTTATCAGGTATTTTGGAGAATGATTCACGGTCTTCGTCTGAGGCGTTGAAATATGTACCCCTCTATGAATTTCGAATTTTAATAACGCGAAAATGCGACCGTATAAAAAAGTCGAAGTAATGAGGGGGGAACAAGGCATACCTTGTTTACTCTCTTTTCATATAAGAACGTCATTTCTCAAGGATGAGGCTATAGCTACCTCTTTTATATAAAAATATATATGTATATGTATATGTTCCTTTTTTGTGAGTAGATCCTGAAAACTTCCTTAACATGTTCATAAAATGCATATTACAATTTGCTTTTCTAGCGAACCACTCTGGCCACTGTAACGATGTTCACTGGTCTGATACAGGTCTTCTTGATCTTGTGGCTTGTTACACCATGTGAGAGTGACGTTTGCAGCCAAAACATCTGTCAATGTACCAAGTTCGGTAGCACTCGGCTAAAAGTAAAATGTCGAGTTCATGGATACATATCAACCAGAATCCCAAGCAATACAGTAGAACTGTAAGTGATTAAGAAACTTCGCCATCCTTTGTCCTGCAGGGTCTGTTATCGTCTTCTTTGTGTTCATATTCGTCAGGAAACTAATACTTTATAGACACCTCTTGGAAGAATGTGGTTTTGATGTTGCAATCACGCTACGTGTCGATTTAAACTAAAATACTTTTAACTAGATAATCGCTTATTTATTCCTTTCGGACCTTACCTCCTCTAGAATTCAAATTTATGTTCATTACCATTTTTACTTACAGTTTGATTTTTACCCAGAGATCTTTCAAGTTGTTCGTTGAGCTCAATTACAGAAGACATCTTTAGGAACCTGACTGTTTTAAAGAAATTGTAAGTCGTAAATGAAATTGAATGAAAAAATGACTGTGACTTCTTATGAAACGTAAAAGAATATAATTTCCGCTCATGAGGAATTCGTGTCAGATCGAAAAGATTTTTCTTGAAGCAAATTACTTTTTCTTTTTTAAAAGTTAAAAGAAAAAAAAACAGTTTTTAAAAGCTTGACATTTAATGGAAGTAAGTTTGTAGATTAAGTAGCCAATCTTATTGTGTCTGTGGGTGAGAATAGTTTGATTGCTGATCAGACAATTCGTACAGTACAACCAAACCTCTTAGGAAACAGTGTTCAAAGACTTTTAAGAAATAAAAAAAATAGCTGTAAGCTTCCGTTCATGAGAAATTCGTATTGGATCGAAATGATTTGTCTTAAAGCAAAGTATTTTTTTTTCTTAAAAGTTAAAAGAAAACTTACAGGAAACAGTGGTCAACATACTGCATATATCTGGTATATTCAGAGGAAAAATTTATCAAGGTTGTGAACGAGTTTGAGAATGGTCTTGAGATTTCCCGAACCATCTACAAACGCGAAAAATCAAAAAGTTAACCTTCTGATTACAAGTTATATCTGGGTACTCATTGATGGTTCAATAGTTGACTTACTTTCTATGAGCTGGTAGATTTCGATCACTAGGATACTAATATCGTCCTTCTAATGAAAAGTAAAACAGGAAAGGGCAAATAATCTTATGTACTGGAAACATTTGTCTTTTGGAAAATTTTTATGCTTAATCTTTCGAGAATAAATTAATTTCCTTTTTCTTTTTTCATGAATTATCTCTCTCTTTCTAGGGACTTATCAAATAATTCACTGCGACACATTCCTCAAAACACTTTCCGCAATATGAAGAAACTGGAAATAATGTAAGGGAATTCCCAATGATTTAATTTAAACAGTTTACAAAATGTGGTTGGAATATCCTACTATCCTTGTAGAGTCTACCTCTATTTTTAATTATATCGACTTTAATTAGCTTTGTTATGATAAACAACTATTCACCTAAGTGGGTGTGGCTAGAAGTGGATATTTACCTGGCCAAGAAGAGGCGAGATAAAATACCCCTCACTAGCCACTGACACTAAGGTGAATAGTAATTTTAGCTAGTATGTAGTAAAACAGCGAGATAGTGTAACGTATTACTTTTTCCTCGATGCGTGAGCGGGTGGTATTCTACAAATTCTACAATCTGATTGGTTTCGAGAGGGCGCAGTATTCTCCCGTCTGGCCCGCTCACAGCGGGCGGCACCCTAACCGTTGCATGTTCAGCGCCTATACATCCCTAGCTTAGTTGCAAATTTTCATAAATATGTATTTTTTTGCCAGCTGAGAAGCATTTTTAAGCAAAGACATCGGTCGCGACCTGATCAATAGCTTAATAACTCAATAATTCTCTCTCTCTCTCTCTCTCTCTCTCTCTCTCTCTCTCTCTCTCTCTCTCTTTTACATCACTTTGGTTTTCATAATATTTGTTATCATTTCTTCCCAGAGATCTTTCCAAGAATTCAATTTCAGGAAGTTTTTACCTTCCAGAAAACGTTCACCATCTGTGAGTTATACTTGATGAAGTGCTTCTCAAAGCTGTTTGCCATAGAATTAAAGTGCATCTTGTTTTACTGCTAAAATGTTGCTCAATTTTAGCTTGTATTCTCTAGTCATTATGAATAAAATGATGATGATCCGCTACCATTAGCTCTTCCTTTCCTTTCGTTTGTCTTATTTTCTCAAAGAAAACGGTGCTTAGATATGTGGATGCATGAAACAGCGTAGTATAAATGAGGCTGCATGAATTATTTTAGCCCACTTTCTAACACTTATAAACTGATTTTAGATATTGCATTTGTTTAGGATAATCAGTCACAACTTACTATCAATTGCTGATGTGAAGGTCATTCTTAAAGGATTAACACGGCTTCACAAACTGTAAGTGTCACTCTTTTAAATGATTTAAAAATCACAAAAAATATTTTCGAATGCTTTAAGCATATAATCGTTGGAAATATTCGTCAAATACTCGTTCATCACAGTTCACATCAATAGTTCATCACAGTTTATGAGGAATTAAAATTTCAAAACACATATCAGCCTACATGTAATCATCAGATAGTTGAAACTCATTTCAAACAGTTTACTTCTCAGAAATCTTGGTGGAAATCCACTTGGACCTTCTCTGCCATCAGATATATTCACTGAGTTTGAAAATATGACATATCTGTAAGTTCAGTGGTTCCATAAATTACCAACTTATAAGGAGTATCATATTGAACGTTTGTTTCACTATCTAGTGACACTCGAAGTAAATCCTGACGTTTCATCCGTGCATATTTAGTTTAATTCAGAAGCCGAGGTCGATGGCTACCTCATGAAGTATTATACTCTGCTATGATTCGCTGTGGCACACTGTGATGTGGCAATTCTGCTGTTGTAGTTCTTGATCGTTACCTTCCTTACTTTTGGATTTTCTGCTAGATGGAGTCTTATCTGAATCGCCCCTTAAAGTGTGTGTTTAAAAATAGGAAGCGCAGTCAATGAACTTTTTTCCTTATCAAATCGAGCGGTTTTCGCTGCCGAGTAGGTGCTCCGTGGGACGTCGGCAGCCTGTGCGAGTTGAGTGTCGGCGCAAATAACAGCTGTCGAAAAAGAGTATTCGTAGAAACCTTGCATTCACATCCAAAATGACCATATCGTTACATTGCAGTATTTATAAATACGATCACTTATTACATAACCACCCTTTCTTGTTATATAAGTCATTAATAAGAATAATGGTTTTCGATGAAAACTCTGTGTATTTGTTAGGTATTAGCTGGAGCCATCGAGAAAATAGCTTGGTTGTTAAGTCGTTAAGTTTAACAATTTAGGAACAGTTAGTTTTGACCCGACAGAGAAGCGTATTGAAAACTTATAAAGGCATGTCCCGCTCTGTTTTTCTGGTTACTCCGCGATATTTTTACAGTGCATTCTTCGATCAGCCAATACCACCCTTTAAATATTTTGTCTGTCTTTTTGTCTTTTTCATACAACTTTTGCAGTTCTGTGATTGGTTGCAACTTGCAAAAAATCGAGAATGGAACTTTTCGAGCAATGCGAAACCTACAAGTACTGTAAGTAGTGTTTCAACGTTTTTTTTTTTCCTTTTTTGTGACGTTTAAGCATAACACCTGAAATTTCTTGGAAAATTTGTGCCTCAATAGTTAGTAAATTATCCTTTCCGCAATTAAAAAATGAATACAAAACTTTACGCTGCGCGCTCGTTCGATTTTGAAATCACGAGTATCATTTCAGCCCAAATTGCACTCCACTCAGTTCAATTACAAATTTATAATGATGATAAATTTGTCTGTTTTCAGTGATCTGTCCTTCAATAAGCTGACTTATATATACAAGGGTACAGTGGAAGGACTCACGGATCAGTTCAATAATTTGTAAGTACGTTGGCTGTGCATTACTGTTCTCTGCCTCACACCGGGTAATGCGAGTTTAAACGTAGAAATAAGCTGATTATTATTCAGAACATCAGTTGTCTTCCACCGAGTTTAAAAGGAACATTTTATCAGACCTCACTTATTTTGTGGACAATGAAATCCTTCAGTGTACTGAGGATCCAAACCACAGGCAGCACCTCTTGTAGTTCGCATACGTTTTTTAGTGAAATATTGGACACGCCGTGACAATGAGATTTATCAAATATGAAAAAGAAAATAAATTCAGCCCCCTCCCTACTCCCATTCTTATATAGGTATTACAGTTGGTGCAGTTGGACTGAGTAATTTCCATCCTCTTTATTCTGGTTAATAGGTACCTTCAAGGAAACGAGCTAGAGACAATAGGTGATGGCACTTTGAATCAATTTAAAAGTCTCCAAAGATGGTGGGTATTTTAAACATACTTGAATAAAACAGTTAAAATTGCAAAGAATTCGATAAGGACTAAAGTAAAAATGGTACGAATAACTACTTTTCCAATGCAAGGTTAAGGAAATATTTTGTATCAAAAGAGAATATAACAGTTTCTTAGAATTATAATTCCACTATATTAGGTCAATTCACCGAAGTAGGGAAAAAGAACGCGCAACGCGTTCCTATAAAACAGGGCAAAAATTCGGACAGAAACAATCCGCGTGATCTTTGATTTCTCTTCCCTTTTTTAGACATGATTTTTTTCAGCATGGAAGGTCAAACCCCGCAATATTTTTGTGTTAGGTCAACAAGAACACTGAAACTGTTTCTTTTGTAGTTTTTTCTTCTTTCACTCAAGCCTCATGCGATCGGTACGATTCTCCGTCGAGACCGTACGCAAGTCGTAAAAACATCGAAAAAGGTGTATTTACAGCCTGAAATAAAACCATCACTTATTGCAAAACGCCAATTTCATTTTAGATTACACGTATGCGATTGTGATTTGCTAATACCCTTAATTAATTAAAATGAATTAAAAGGTGTTTGATGTTAAACAAAAACGAATGGCAACGATCAGCGGTGAAGCTTATGCAAATAATCCTTGAAAAAAAATTATGCAGAAAAAATCTGAAGATTAAAATCTCTGATGAACGAAAAGAGAAAAATGCCCATGCCAAAAAAATTGGACTAAAAATTCAAGAAAGATTGATTGATTGGTCACGCGAAGTGTTTTAAAGGTGTTGCGCGAAAAAGCCAAAGGGACTGGCCAAACAGTGGATTTCTTGTAATTCTGTTCTATTAACAAGAGAAAAGACAGCGAGGATGTATCAATCAGAGCTCATTACAACTATTTATAACACGTATTTTTCCTTTTGCCTGGATCTTGTAGCCGGTTGGACAATAACAAGCTGACATCTGTACCAGATTTGACAGGTCCTAAGACTATAGGTTCCTTGTAAGTAACAACAAGAGATTAAAATCTCTTGGTAACTATTATCTTTTACCGGATATAGCAGTTATTTTATTGTCATGCGTAGGAAGGCATCTTATCTCAGAATGTTGACAATATCCTTCACGGGTGAGCTATAAAATAATTTTAAATGTACTAAGAGAGATGTTAAAAAAATAAACAATTATTCATTATTCTAGTAATAAACCTTGTATTAATCTTGTTAGTATGACAAATGAACGTCATTAGAACTGGGGACTGTCAAATTTAATTGCACTTGACTCTTTTTTTCTTCTCAGACTACTACAAGAGAATCAGATCACAGATTTATCTAGAATTGCCACTTCTGGGATTGGACGCGTGTATTATCTGTAAGTATTTGGTCCCTATTGAACTGAATGGTTAATTTTTTTCTGTTTATTTACTTTTTTTTTTTTGGAGGGGAGGGGGTATTTACCAAGAAACCGGATTCCTTTTCCTTGGATGGCTATATTAAAGTGTGCACCAGCTCTACTAACGTTTGAAAATGCTGTTTTAATCTTGTAGATCGTTGTCTAACAATAAGATCGATCACCTTCCACCAAACATATTTCAGAATACTCTCGTAATAGGGAGCCTGTGAGTAACCAAAACTACAAATAGAACGGATTTTTCATTTTGTGGCTGTCTTTTGATAGTATTACATAAAAAAGAAGTCACTCTTACTGTGTATCCATATTTTCTATATCGTGATTTCCTCTTTTACAAAGGAAAGACATGAAAATGAAAATGTACTTTCAACTTTTGCTAAGATCCAATTTTTTTTTAAAAAGACTTGGAAAATAAGGGGGAATTTCCTGCAGAATTTTCCGAAAACTTTAACTGAGGATGAATCTACCTGTAACACCTTTTTTATCCGACCGTTTATAAGTCTCCCCTTGGGAGAGAGATATTAAAGTGTTCATAATCGATTGTTTTTTCGTGTCTGTTTCACTGTTGATAACGTTATTTTTCTCGTTTCTCCATAGTGATTTGTCATTCAACAAATTGCAGTCATTACCAGATGAAATATTTAAAGGGCTCGGTCAATTAAACATTCTGTAAGTAGTTCGGGAAAACCTCGTCCCAAATGAACTTTACATTTAGTGATACATGATCGGATCGAGATCACCTCCTTCTCTTAAAACGTTACTTAACAACTCATGGGTATGTAACTCAGTTCGGACCGAATTTCACAACTTTCTGATCTTATGATGCAATCCTAGTTATATGCCTCCATAAGGTTTAAAATCATTTGAATTCATTTCTTTCAAAGGAAGACTACCAGTGATCTCATGTCATTTTGGCTAAGCAACCCATTATTGCCAATGGACATCATAAAGAATTTTTCTGGAGGTTTATTACCATTAGTTCAAACTATCACCTGGTCTTGCCTTATGTTCAATATCTAAGAAGAACAATTACTCAGAAAATGACGTCATTTTCTGAGTTTCGGTGTTTCAGTGTTTTTGACCGATAACAATTTAAGATAAGAAGCAGTAATTTCGGCGAGTTTTCTTTCAGCACAGAAAAACACAGGATTGAATTATTTCCATCCGCAAAGGTGTTGGTGACCTATCTAGCAACTTATGTTTACATAAGATAATTTAGTTTAATCAATCAGCCAAAAACTTTAACTGTTCCCACGGTTCTAGTTTCACTTCAGATCGTAAGCAATCGAAGTAATTCACACTGTTAGGTTTGTGTCTGATCTCCCAATTTTGCGCTGCAGTAAAAGAAAAACCTCAAAAGGTTCCTCGCTTTGACAAGACTGTGCATGTTAGTTCATGGGAAACATAAGCATGCTATGCATGCAAGAGTTTTTTCTTTTTTTTTTTTGGATCGGTGGGTTGAAATGGGTTATTAAGTAACTGATGTTTAAATTTTTGTAAACGCTGTGACTAAACGCTATCGGGCATAGTCTCAAATAGTTTATGCCCGGCAGTCAGAAATTTTCACAGATTTTCCTCCGAAAGGTTCTTTCAAAGTTTACGAATATCAGATCTTTGTTTAGAAATTTCAAGCGATTCCGAAAATGAATTTGGTTTTCAGTGGTCAGACTCTCCGAGCTTGAGCATACTAAAATATCGTTCGATTGTCCACACTTTCAAACTGCACGCCTCTGATCAGACTGCCGGGCACGTTCTCGGATGCCACCAAAAGATTCCTTGAAACTTCCTAAGAGTATTGGATTTTTGTTAGGAAATTTCAAGCGATTCCAGAAATTAATTTGTTTTTTTAAGTAGACAAATTCCCGCGTACCCCATCACTCTTTCACAATATATTTTCTGAGTTGAGTGACTCACAAACATTTTGATTTTTTCCCTGTTTTTAGGGTGCTAACCTTCAACAACATCACTCACGTTAACAATCACACATTCAGTGGACTTTCTAGTTTGACCACACTGTAAGTGTCCTCTATATACTTTTCTAGAGAGGCGTTAGTCAGGGCTTTGAATAACGTTTTTCATAAGCATTGTATAGTAGGTGTATAGTGGCGTAGTAGATGACTGTGCCCAGATACTTTCCCCTAGGGCAGTTAGGGGGCATTGTCCCTCAGAAAAAAAATTGAAATCCAGAGCTCGAAGATGTAATTTCCATCATACTGGGCATCAAAAAGAGTAGTTTTTGTAATAATTTTCATTGACACCTTTGTAATTTGCAAGCTATTCCTGACCAATCAGAATGCCTCGTTGTGGAGCGTTCGTGTTTAAACGAAGCAAATTCGAAAATCAATGCCTTCCGGGGAGGCTCTCATTTCATCATCATTTCACGATAAAAAACCTCTCAACCTCCGATGAATTCAAACACTGTTTCATAAATTCAGGCACATCAAAATGTTTCATATATCCTCTTCATCAAATTTCGGGAACGCAAAGTGTTGCAATAGCCTCGTAAATAACGTAGATTATATTAATTTCATAAAAATGTATTGAACAAGATCCACATTTCCAGTGTCCACGTGCCAATCTACTGGCGTAAATGTAGTCGTGGATTAGAAATGAATCATTTTGCTAATCAATTCGTTTTCTCAATTGTTAATTCATTTACCTGTGTAATTAGGATAGATGGCACATTTATAACGTCATGTCCCTTATCATCTACCTTATAAGTCAGAACTTTGCTATTCTTTCTATTTTACAGACTGCTGATCAAAAACAAACTTACATTTATTGCCAAAGACGTTTTTTATGAGACTCCCAGCCTGAAATCATTGTAAGAGTAAACTTTGGTTCTGAGATTTCTTCATATTGTGTAATGCTGTATCACGTGCACAGTCAAGAGAGGATAAAGTGTTACTGCTATCCTCTCTTGGTATTTTAGATAAGCCTTTATACATAAACTACCATGATATATCTATTCTGTAAACACAATGATAATTTAAAAAATACGTAATTGCTCGTATTTCGAAATTACTTGGAGGTGTTTCCACTTCTTGTTTTCATTTTAAGTTATTTTGCAAAATATGATATGTGTTTCTGTTTTTAAAGTAAATAACAGTTGTCGTTGTTTAGAAAAAAACTTTTCTCTCCTCCTTTCTTCCTACCCTAAATCAAAATTTGTTATTTTTTTAACTTTGATAGCTATTTGATTATCAGTGTAATATGGGAACAACCAGAACCAATGTTTTCGAGGGTAAAGTATACTAAGAACCATCAAAATGGCTTTAAAATTCTGTCAAATACTCAAAGCCTTATTCCGAATTCCAATTTGCAATGCATATACGACATCTTTATGTTTGTTGTGCAAGTGGATAATTGCTTCACCAAAATAATTTTTTCCCGTAGGTTTCTTCACAGTAATGCAATTACAAAAATTGAAAAGGAGGCTTTTGACGGACTCGATCTGAACCAGTTGTGAGTAAATTGAAGAATAAAATGATTTCCTTGGGAGCTAAAACTTGGGATGTGATACATTAACAAACTCATATATATTTTATTGTTTTTTTCTAAGCTGTTGTTTAGCTGCCAGTAAATGCCATACGCATAATTAAAAATCGTACCCACCATATCTCTTGATATCAGGAGCTTTAGCATAACATATCTTGTTTAAGGGGTATATACACGCTTCATTTTCAGAACCATTTTTGATAATCCTTTAAACTCATTACCAGATGGAATGTTCGACAGAATGGCAAATCATACCCAAGTGTAAGTCAAGCCGTCTGGCTTAAGAGCTATATATAAATATCTGTGTATATATATATATATATATATATAGCTTGTGTATATTTTACGAAAAGCCGAGAGCACCTCTAACACAGAAAAAAACCTCTTAATATCATTATAATTATTATAAATCTTCATTATCGTTGTTGTCGTCGTCATCGACGTCTTCATCGTCATCAGCGTTATCGTTACATTTGTCGAATTTGTGTTAATTTTTTTTTTTTTAATACAGCTTCACGTTCTTGGCTTTAATTGGTACACGTATAAAGTTTCTCGAACCTGTCTTTTTTTTCTTTTTACCTTAGGTAGTTTTCATTATCCCGTAGGGGGAGGGTTGATAAAATGAGGTGGATTGTTTTCCAATCAAGTTGCTTCAAGATCCTTAAAGCTAAGGAAACCCGAATATGCTGTGGCGACGTATACCACTTAGCGAATTACTGCTGCCAAAATCACGACGGGTTTTACACCCAAAAGTTTTAATTCAACTTATTGATAATCAAATTATGTACAGGGCATTGACGTGTAAAAACCTTGGTCAGCTGCCTCTGGGAAAATACGTGTCTCAAATGTAAGTAGGCCTTAAGTTTCATTTTCTTCTCACGCTATAGAATGATAAACATCTGCACTGACGTTCTAACGGCTCATTTGACTTTAAGGGTTTTAACGAGTTTAATTCCGTAAAATTCAGCCTTTGTATAAAAAAAGCCTGATCGGAACTAGTCATGATATACTGCAATCCCTAAGAATAACTCATAACTCTTGTGTTTGATGACGTCATTTGGTGAATTTGTCCCCCCACCCCTTCCCCGGCCAACTTTGCATGAGCGTATGAGTTTGGTTTCAGTGCTATGGGAATACTTACTTGGTTAAAAGTTATCAGTGTGCACCCCGGAGAGCAAATTGCTTCACTAGGTTTCGTCCGTCTCAAAACCAAACTGCGCTTATGTCGTATTTTTTTACCTCGTTTTCAGGTGTCTCTTGTCTCGAGTAGGGGGAGGTCAGTTTTGACAACAATTTTCAATTAGCATTTCATAAATTTATTCTTCCTTTCCATTACAAAAGATATGAAAATAACAATAAAAAACTGTATATAACTTTTAAAACAACTATTGATCTTAGTCATTTCAACGTGTCGACATTTATTAGTACTATCGGCTTTGGCTATTGATCTCTTCACTGGAAAATTACGATATTGTTTTCAACCTAGTTTTTATTTATTGTCATTGTCCAATCTTCAGTGATTGTGCTCCCACGACATCTCTGCACGTCATTTTGGACAACCACCAAAGTAGCTTCAGTTCATGCTTTACACGCTCAGGTTTTGTGTGCCAGGACTGTGCATCCCACGAAAAACACAGTGTACGATTCTTATGTGCAAATTGCAGCCTATGTCCAGTTGGTACCTACGTGTATACTGATGAATCCCGCTGTCTACTGTGTCCTGCAGGTAATGAGAAGAAACAATTATTTTATCGTTGACATCCGTATTTTAAAAAGAAAAGTGACAAGGAATCACTTTATTTGTCTGGCTAGATGGTCACCGGTGGTGGCTTCAGCTGTTTAATATATGTGTTGGAAAGAACGAAACCTGGCTCCTACATGCATCGTTATTCCCTTTCTGAACCAAAGTATAAAAAGGAATAACTGATTAGACGAATTTTAGTGCGATTATTGCTAATACGTAAATTTAGTTCAGCAAGAAAAAAGACTGACCAATTTGATAACGAGAAACGACTGATCAGATGCCATCTAAATTCTTGATCATCCTTGTTTCCTTTGCTTTTGGGCACACGATTGAATTTTGATGGAATCGTTATTCTTTTCCTTTTATGTATTTTGTTAACTTTGGAGATGGCTTAGGCAATTAAACGGTGCTGGTATACTTTAATATCGTTTTCTCAAAGGTGTACTTCTTTTATCATAAATGAATTGAAAACAGACAATAACATTGATAAAAGGTGTCTCTATGCTGTAATTCAATGTAATAGTTGATTCTCTTCTTATGAGCTCAGAGAATCCACCAGTATAACTGTATCTAAGCTCCATAATATCTTTACAGGAGGTTTTTATCAGAATGAAATGGGACAAGTTGATTGCAAAAGATGCAGCATTGGTACATTTGTTTCTGAACAGCGAAGTCCTGGGACCAAAGCTACCGACTGCGTGGCATGTCCATACGGTAACTGTTGTGTTTCCTTTGGGCGGACGGCACCTTTTTTTCAATTCAAATGCGCTTAAGAATAATGCGAAGTTTTTTGTTTATTTTTTTTTTTTTCTGAAAAGGCTATCAAGGCGATTGACTCAACCTTTGGCAGTCACTATCACCAATTTTAGTTCAACACACAAAACACATTCATGTAAAATGGATTATCCGGAAGCCGGATCCATCTTAGAGTGCATAAGCCGAGAGTATTTGTTTGTTCAGAGGGGAATCCAAAGATGTATTATTTGGAGGATAATAGTCATTCAGAGAAAAGAGGAAGTGAATTCGTGGAAAAGCCCTTCTGTCAATGTTATGATGTTTCTATAGATAGGTCTTCGACATGTTGCGAAGTGGTTGCTTAAAAATGAACCATTCTTTTCAGGTACGCTTTCTAACGAGACTGCTGAATATCGTGCATGCAGATGCCTACACAACTTCTATCGGTTAGATCGTTTTGGCCCGTGCTCAGCATGTCCACCGTATGGTTTTGTTTGTAAGAAGGACACAGGAATACTTGCTCCTAACTACTTCTGGAAATGGTCAAATCAGTCTGACAAAGAACGATACAAAGGTTTTGTTAACAATATCCATTCTACTGGATCAGACTACGACAAGTCCTTTTCAACGTTCAATACTTTACTTCCAAAATCACTCAAATGTCCCCATGCAAATTCCTGCAAGGGTGGAATTGACTCAGAATGCCATCAAGGATATAAAGGGACTTTGTGTGCAACCTGCTCTGAAGGCTTCTATTTTCGCTTCAGCTCTTGTTTGAAATGTCCCCGGTTAATTGTAACAGTAACTTCATCCATTTTGGTGATTGTTCTTTTTGTTGCTGTGTTTCTAATGGTTCTTTGGGGTGACTCCAGGCATGTAGAGAACAACCGGACAGTTGCAGATGTCGTCATGTCGTGCTTTAAAATTGTAACTGGTTTTTACCAAGTCATTGCTGGTATTTTCTCGGCATTGGCGAAAGTCCAGTGGCCAGTCATTTTGATCTCAACTGAGAAGGTTCTAAAAGTATTTGAAGGGAACATCTTACAGTTTGCCCCTCTTAGTTGCATACAGTCTTCTCTACGGCTTGATCAGCTTGGAAAGTTCACGATGATTGTTGTCATGAATGTCTCGCTCGTTGGATTGATTTTCTTGTATCTATTTCTTAAAAAGCGCTACATCATGAATAAGAAGGATCTTGGCGAAGACCGGAAAGTAATGGAAGTTAAAAGTTTGACGAAATCCTGCTACCGGAACATTTTTCTATTGTTGTTGACGACCTACCCCACGACGAGCAAATCGATTATTCAGATTCTACCTCTTCCCGGTGCTTGTATAAAAACATGTTTCACAGACAACAAGAGCGACTGTATCTTCCTACTGAGAGCTGATTACTCCATTCAGTGTTTCACTCCTCGCCACAACTTGTATTGGCTCATGGCTTCTATTTTGGCGTTATATCCCGTGGGATTTCCACTTTTAGCTTTGTTTCTCACTTACAAATATCGTGAATCCCAGGAATACGAAGCCATTTCTTTCGGACTCAGAGTGTTCTTTGAAAACTACAAGAATGAATTTTGGTTCTGGGAAATCACAGAGATGTATCGCAAGCTGTTTCTAACCTCACTGATTTTTCTTTTTGGATCAAAAAGCCTTTCTCAAATCGGTCTCACAGTTCTGACAGTCAGCGTCTTTGGAGTGGTCTACACCTTATTCCGACCAATCAAGGACAAGTTTGAAGACCGCTTACAAACATTTGTTCTTTGGATAACTTTTTTTGACGTTTGTCTTGGTGCAGTTTACACAAACTGGGATGAGAGTCAAGGAGAGGGCAAGAACGACTCCATCTTTGTAAATGTCTTGTTCATGACCCTTAACGCCTCTGTATTGTTTCTTGCCATTGGTAAGTCAACATGCTGCTCTGTTTTATTCAATGTGCCTTTTAGTCATTTGCCAAATAAATCAAGGAAAGGTAATCTGAATTGTGGTGGTTTTTTCAATCCCCAATTTTTTTCGTTTTCTGCGCAATGAAAGTATTATGATAAAATCATTAAGTAGCCTTGTCTAGGTTATTTAGGATATTTGACCCTCAATAACATTGGCTCACACAATTGTAATCTTAAAGCAGATCGCGATGTTTGGTCAATTTCTCCAGCAACTTAACTCTTAACCAACTACTATTGGTAGAAGACGATAAACCGCGAGCTACAGTTAGAGTGTTATGAATATTGAGATCTTAGAAAAAAATCCAAATCATTGTGCGAACGTAATGTCAACACCGATTCTCAAAAAGCCTCTTAGCAAGAGCGAAAACAATGAAAAATTTCAGAAAAAAAGGACACGTTACCGTTTTTAACGCTTTTGTGTAAGATTTCAATTACATGTATAAATGATGAACTCCGGCCGTCTTCTTCTTTTACTTTACAGGAAAAGGAATTCTACATGTGAAGTCAATTTGGAAGGACGTAACCTTCAACCCGATCCGATGTTTCAGCTTCCTTTGCCAAGGAGTATCACGTCTCAAAAACTGGGTGGTCACAAGAACAGGAACATCCGATGAACTTTCATACTTGATTGAAGAAAGCAACTGAAGAACTTCACAGAAATATTTGTCTTAAACCTTTTTTACTATGCCTCCTGAAATATCTCGCTCTAGGTGGCTTAAACATTTAGAGCTTTCGTTGACATCTCTCTGGCTGTTGTGAGACTTCTCGATGACATTTCATTGCAATTATAAGCACCAGTGACTCTCGCAAAGGCTGTGTTCTTCAAAACGCAAAGCGTAATTGGGACAATAAACGTTGAAAATTATATCATGATTATTTTTGGTAAAAAAGTAATATTTTGCTTAGTTAAAAGTAGGATCCTTGGCACCTTAAAGCACATTTTCTATCAGTTTGTCGGCTACTGAATTAATTGCTCTGTTTGAACGTTTTGAATAAAGTCAAACCTTTATTCGTTTGAAGCATATAAAAACTACAAATGGCGTAGCAAGTTAAATTTCGACAAATTCAGGGCTGTACCACGGATATCAAATAAGCACTTTATCAGGTCAGTATTTGGAAAAAGAACTTTCATTTTCTCGACGTTGACTTTCACAAAACTCTTCATTTCGATTATTTCTATGCTTCTGACGTGACTAAATTTGTTGATAGCTGTAAACAGTCTCTAGGTCTAGTTCAATTTTTCGCTTTAAAGTAGCTTTCTGGGTGGCAGCTAGAGTTTTCAGTTTGCAGATCCAGACATGTTCTTCCTCTCTCTTTAAGGAATTTTTGACTGATAAACCTAGTGGAAGGTAAATATTTTGCTCCTTTTTTTACAACGAGCCAGATTTTTCCCTTACGTCTTTTCATCGCCAGCAGTAAAGAAATGAGATTAGGGATGAATTGAGGAATGTTTGCCGTTCGTGACAGTTGGACAAATGAACCGACCAAAATGTCGATAAGAGTCAACGAGAAAATACAGAATCTGAAAGTGAAATGTTCAGTGAACTTCAGCCGAATTGTGGCTCATAAATACACGCAAGTTTTTTCACATGACAAGCAGAAAACAAAGTGTTCAAGGCATGTGTTTTATGAATGAAAGACAGCCGAATTCACCGGAACTTGAAGATCGCTCGGGATGACAGCGCCATAAAACTCGGCTACAGTGACTGATGTGGCCTTCCACTCACGTATCGGAAAGGATCTCAGAGCAAGCTCTTATTTTTTCACTCGAAGGGCGGCCGATGTAGTTTTTGAGGCTTGTTTCACTGCGATGATCGGAGATCGCCATGATGAGCCAGCCGCGATGGACCACAGCATGATCACAGTCCCTCTGACACCGTCATGACTAGTAAGAATTTGAACAGTTAGGCCAGTTTGGTTATATTTTTCATCATTCCTGTTTTGTTCTGTTTTGTTTTTGAACACAAAACTTTATATGATACACGGGTGTTAGCTGTGTTTGATTTTTATTACCGTACGTAAGCTTGCAATATAAGTGAGCGTGAAAACCTTTAAAACTCGGACTGTCCATTTTGTTTTCTCTTTGGGGATTTTCGTCTCTGCTCACGTTTTATTGACCTAAATTACGGCACCTTGCATGTTTACGAAGCTTGATTTGGTTCGTCTGTTGCTACTCGTCGGTTCGCTTGCTCCGAAATTTCCCTTTCAATTATTGAAAAAAAGCTAAAAGGCCGGACAAAGTACAATTTGGCAGATGGTGTGACAGCTTAAGCTCGGCTTTATGCTCTATACTCTCTAGAGCACGTTCTTTCAACAAATGACAGCACGCATTATATTCAAACTTTATTATAAACTAAATTGGCGGAAGGCGCGCCACACATTAGAGAAAATAGCCTGAAAATCACAAGAGGGGAGCATGTTTTTCTTGTTTTCACTAAGATCACTTTGAATAAACCACTTTTACCATATGGCTTTTGAAGAAGAGAGATCATAGAGGGCCCCCTGTACCTTTGCTGTTGCTTTAGAACTTCTAGAAGAAATATCAAAACGGGTATAAAAACTCGCTTTTTTACATATTGCTAACATGAGAAACAGCCCTTTGCCTACTTAGGGACGTAGTTTTGTTAAAGGGAAAAACTCTTTAGCTGTTTTACCATGCGGTTATTTTAACTTGATTGTTAGGGACGCCTTGTGGAAATTGTAAGAGATTGCACAGAGTGGAAATCATATCAAATCGTGATTTTCTGGAAATGTCGCTTATTGCCTCGGCTTTTCCGCTAAATTTATCTTGCACGGGCTCCAGTGGGACCTTTTTCCTTTTTCAAAACTCCCTCTAGTATGTTAATTTTCTCTAAGCTGCACCTTCTCTAACAACGGAACACACGAGCAATGATTAGAACTGAAATTGAACAAGAGGAGCTAAAAGAAACGGTTTTATAACAACTTTACAAAAAGGGATTAATGATAAAAACGACAAGTTTTTGTGAAAAATCAACAAATAAAACAGTTGAGCATTTAAACTAACCTATGCCGCGTGCATAATGTATGACACTGATAAAAAAAGGGGAAAAGAACATACAAAAGCTATAGTTCACAATTCCACAAATTGTAACACCTTACTGTCGGCAACCAATACTAAGACAGTACTGACCCGCCCTCTTATTGTTCTCCATTTCCTATGCCGGTTTTAGATTTCAGGCTTTGTCACAAATGAGCTGATTCCCCCGCCACAAAAACGTAATATATGGATTTATTTAAAGTTACCAAAGTTATCTTTAATGATTTTTGTTAGATTTTAAAACCTTGTTTTACAGTATCATTGGTTGCAAAACTATTTGTATGTCTTTCCATGCCTATTTTTTCCTTCTCTTGAGTCTTGACTCTTGCTTGTCCTGTTCGTCTCTTACCATAACTTGCCCACAATCTCAAAACAGAGAAACATGATATTCTCTTCATTGAAAAGTTGAACTTTCATCTTATAGGTTCGATTCTAATTGATTGAAGAATAAAATGAAAGTAGAATGACTACATGCATTGATTTATGGCCCTCTCTTGTTTCCAAGAAAGATCAGATCAAACTATGCCCAGCTTGATAAAAATCGTCATAATGATAATGATCAACACCACCAGCCGTCATGATTACTTTTGAAAAAGCGCGCAGTCAATGTAACGGTAATGAAGATGAGGAAGAATGGTTGCTAACGCTTAAAGCTCACAGGAGCCAGCCAATATTGAATGAGCGTGCAAAGATGACAAAACGCTCGACTGGGAATTATTTTAATGGGGGAGGGGTTAGTTTCTAAAGAAACTGTGGTGTTGCTTCGATGCATGGCCGTGTGGGGCGAACAGGAAAATTTGGTTTTATCAGGTGAGTTGATGACGTAAACTGGCCACCATAAAGAGTTTTCAAAGTTGACGTCTCAATCGTTAGCCCTAGGTCGGAACGAAGGACTAACTCTTTAGAAACTCTTCACTGTGGCTGATTTACATATTTAACTCAGTCGATAACACTAAAATATCGGGAAATCTTTAGGTCTGGATGGTGGCTAACGAATTTTATATCCTTAAAAAAGCTGATTTTTTTAGCCAATAGGACGAGTGCTTACAATAGAGTGCGGCTTCAGTCTCGTTGAAAAATTTAGGTAAGTGCGGTCGCGAGGAAGATGTATAAACATCGTATAAGAAAGGACGAAAACTACACCATTCTGATTGACAAGCAGGAAAAAATCAGGGAGAGAGAAAAGACTGAAATGCGGCCGGGGCTATCAGATAGGAATCACAAGCGCTGAAACCCGCGGGCTGACAGGGCTGCGCTAATTGATCGATTACCTTCAGAAATGGAGGAAAGGACGGCAAATTCTCAGATACAACGCACACTTTGGTTTCTAGAAGACAAAAATAAAGTAAAGGTTATTCAAATTGGAAACGCCGTGCACCAAGAGCAATATATAACATTGATAATTAATCAATGAGGATAGATTGCCTGATTTTTCATTGCTATATTTTTGGTTTGTTTTGTTTTTCATTCAAAGCTGCCTGTTAGAGATAATCAATAAAGCAATTTGGAAAGGTCATCGTTCTTAATTCTAAACACCTCTTGATGCAGTTCACAGCGTCAGTTGAAAACCAATTTGGAAAAGGGAACTGTTTGAATTTATACCAATCTTGGAATATATATATGACTATAATCACAGGGATAAATATAAGAAAAACAGGAACTAGGCGTAAACAAGTATCAAAACAATAACTAAGATGTGAGGTTGACATTCATTGACTTTTTTATTCAGAGGTACCTTGTGCTTTTCTCAGTTGATATGATTAGCTTCCTTGAGTTTAAGCTGGAATTTTATGGAGCAGAACTCATAATTTTGACTTAATCTGCAGAGCAGGATATTTGATCAGCTTTAACTGTAAATGTTTAAAACATTTAATGTAAAAAAGGTCTCTTAATCCTCTCTTGTTTTCCTTTTCTTTCCTTTCTTTCCTTTCTTTCCTTTCTTTCCTTCATTTCTTTTATTCTCTCTTTCTTCCTCCCTTTTTTACTTCTTAACTCTCTTTTTGGAAGACAACTTACCACCAGCAGGTAAGCTGCACATGCATGGGTACACATCGCAGATAACGTCGTACCCGCCCTTTAAAATAACTTGGCCGTCTGAGAACAGTCCGTATGACATGGATGTTTCAAGAACATCTACCGCTATTAGAAGCAAGCACTAGTTAGAACGCGGCACAGATCTTCGTGTAATGAGGAAGTAGTATCTGCTGTGCATCAAGGGAAGTTAGAAAGGGAGGTCGAACCCGCTAAGGTTAGACAGCAATCGATAAAAATTTTAACAAATACGGAAAATAGAAAATTACTTGCGATTAGAGTTAACAACTTTAAGCATTGCAGGATACATAATTGACAATCATTTTAGTATACCTCGGCGTTATACGCTGACTTGAAATCTTATTTCCCGAGGCCTTCAATTCCGAAGTTTCGAAGAACCTCTTACTTGCAATCGCACAAAGCGTTCTCTCGCAACCTCAATTCTCAAATCCTGGACGTTTTATAGTTATACACCCTTGGTCAAACTGATAACAAAGGGGTTAAATTTTTGGCCCGGTCTTTGAGCAAAGCAAGATTTTAATTATTTTGTTCTCGGATGAGGGAAAATCTGATTCCCTAAGTGGAACAACACCTTTGGAGCGTTGGATTCCGTCGTCCGATGTTCTACGTTGATATACGTCTTGCAATATGTCTTGCATGCTGCAAAGATTTGCAATTTCGGAAGCCTCGTGTGTATTCATATCCGAAGTTTTTAATCAGCCCTGTCGTCGTTTCTAATTCATTCACCTGTCAGTCAAAAAAATGTAATTATGCCAACGGATTCTCTGCAAGCCGTGGAATTTCATAAGATCCTCCTCTTAATTTTGTAACGATATTACTTTTAATTGAAAATCAGTAAAAAAAATAGAAACACCTCCATGTCAACTTCAACTTACCAGGTGTAAATGTTACACTACTATTTACATGTATTCCAGTAGGAATGGAAGGCCATGGAGAAACTTTAAATGTTGGAGGCTTATCGTACTTCCCTAACAAAAAATGCAACAATGGAGTATCACCTTGGGCTACAGAAAAACAATAGTTGAGTCTAGTTGAGTCTTTCACTCATAAAAAGTTAATGCCATTCATTAGCAGTCCGGGCCATAACCATTTCTGGATACTTGATGACGTCACCAACATGGATGTCGTAGTGGGACATCGAGGAAACTCACTCATTACTTTATTCGAGCCCTAGCGACTTAGTTCCCCACCCATATCCCATGAAACCTTGCAAAATTACAGAAGACAAGCAATTACACACAACAAGCAAAGAACTGATGGTGGTCGCGATGACGAGAAGGAAAAATTCAGATGAAAAGTCGGGTGGAGGTCCATGTTGCGAAGGACTCGATCGAGGAATAACCTCTATTTAGTTGAGGTTTTCAGGTATGCAACATTTTTTTTGATTCCTGAAAAAAATCTTTTAAAAAACTAGAATAAATTTGCTTCCAATTTGTCAAAATTCCAATCGAGTGCACGAGGTTTTTGCTCGAGTGCACGAATGTTGAAAGTCTGTTAGTGTGCAAACTACCAGACGGATTCCTTTGTTCAGATCCATCGGAGTATCGTGTAAACCGTAAATTTTAACCATACGTTGTGGCCGGCCAATTTAAAGTAAAAGGACAATTATTTATCGGACCTTTATAAGCCTACATTGTGAATTTCAGATCAAGCCAACAGCATGGATGAACACATTCAGTATCTCGAGACACTTTGTCATCTTTGTGGCACAAATCTGCCACGGACCTGGGTCAGTGCTACAAACAAAGAATCTTTCAAATCGGAGCTCAAGATGAAATTTCGAATCAATGTCGATCTTGACATCAGAGAGATTCATTCAGCCAAGGCGAATGCACACTAAAAAATAATTTCAGGAAACCACGGATCTAACACATAAATGTGATTATCCAGCGAGTAAGTTCTCCTTTGGGCAAAAATATATAAAACAAAGAGGTATTCGTTCACTGAGCTCTCACATCTTCAGGCATCGTATCGGGAAATGTGCGATAAGAGCGGCATGAAGATGAAAATAAAGAAATCACATTGGTGGAAAGCCTTGCCGAAGTGTCTCTATTACAGCATTCCGGAAACAAAGGTTGGAGTTTAACTACACGAACTAATGAGAGTGAAATTTTCGTCTAAAACCACAAGGGACTTGTCTGTAATTGTGAAACTCGTTTAGAAACACCGCTCGTGCTTTCACATTTTGCAGTGATTACCTGAACAAACTTTCTATACAGGGTGTTCAAATCAAAGGGTAATTTTAAAGGACATATTATTGCTGACTAAAAGCTGTAGGACCGAATTTGTAGTGTTCCAAGACCTAAATTCTCCCGCGAATCGATCTATAGCGCGCAAAATACCTTGTATGATTCTCTTGCATTGAATTCGATCATGTGTATTCGTCTTAATATAGACTGTGACTACTTTATTTTATTTTATCCCAGTCATGTATTTATTGGCGTTTATTTTCCAGGTATCATAATTTCAAGATCAAAGTTCCACGTGGAACACCGCTTGTTATTCAAAGTGAAGACGACAACACGTATGACTCGCATGCACTGGCTTGTCTTCTTCCACGAGAAAATGGAACGCATTCCAGAGGCTCTACGAGAAGTCCAGATTTTCAGCAAATCGCAGAGAAAGACATACACTTTAGGAGATGTCAAAGGGCAGCAGATCGGCACGGTTCAGCACTTTCTAAACATACAGCTGCATGCTTTGCTTCGATGTGGCAAAATAACCAGGAATTGAAGGGTAAGTTACTGTTTTCTTGCTTTACTGTTACTTTTTCGTAAAGGCTTGATGGACTGAAATTGATAATGTCTATTTAAAAATCGGAGAGAAGCAAGATATTGTCTTTCCTCGACCTATACTGGAGAGAAATGAAATTGTCCCGATTCCGCGATCTCACACCTCACTCGTCCCAATTGTTATCAGGGCGCGTTATTTGGTTCAACCTTATTTAATTGGTTTTCTTGTAACCCAAAATAGGGAAATCAACGGAGAACGGACAGTAACATCGAGGCCAAGCTCTACCCAGAAGTTCTCCAGATACAAACAGGCTGGCGGAGGAGCTTTTATTCCTGTGACGCTCTTGATGGAAGGACCCCAGCGTTACAAAGAATTTGTGCTAGAAAGAATCCGCTTTACTCTTCCAGAATGCGAGAATGTCGAGGACATGCATGTTGAATGTTTGAAATAAACGAATATTTTTAACGGTATCTTACGTCCAGTCCTTATTAGCGAATTTTGTTTCAGCTTACTACCGCATTACAACATGGCCGCCACAAAAAAAAAAAAAATGAGCTTCTTCTTGTTTCCAGCACCTCTCGGCCAAATTTGCTTTGTTTTGGTTTTGATCTCACCCAATCACAAAGCTCGAAACCGATATCCAGAAATGGTTATGGCCCGAACTAATTAGTCCCTATATTCCTAACTTACTTCAGTCCAGGCCTCACGAAAAGCTTAGATATAAAGCAATGCATGTAAAATTAAATTATAAGTTTGTTTTTTTTGCGACAAATGAACACTCTTATCCTCAGCCGGTTTTCACTGAAATAAAATCCTGTGGGCAATGGAGAGGGAAACGAAAAAATAATGGAGATGGAGAAATGGAACACGGAAATCAGATAGTTGGAAGAGTAGTAAGTCGGTTGTTAAAAAGAAAATCGACAATCCTTTTTCTAAGAGGAATTCTCAATTTTCATTTTCCGTGCCATGTCTGTTAACATTCTGTAATTTTTCCTAAACAGTTTTTAGGCTAAATTTAGAAATAGTAACTAACCACAGTATGTCACATTCATCATTTCCAGTCCCGAGCGATATCCCCATGTTCCACTGATAACAAAAACTAACATGCTCAGGAAGATAGTTTGTCCCAATTGTTGCTTCAAAATCATCGTCTTCCAAACCGATAGCTGGGCAGCAAAACACTGTAAATTAAAGGAATTTATTGTGAATTTAACGCGGCCTTTTAAAGTGAGCGTTTGATAGCCTTTTTTAGATACTGTTCCAAAAAAGTCTGTAAAGTTAAGCTTTTGGCTTAAAGGCTTGAAAAAGTAGGTTTTTTTCATGATTCATAAAAAAACTTAAGGTAATAATTGAGGGATGGATCTCTTCAGTAGTGGTGAAATAAGCTTTCTATTCAATATAATATTTTGTCCATTCATGATTTATCTGGTATTTTGGGGAATGATTTACGATCTTCGTCTGAGCTGTTGAAATATGTACCCCTTTATCAATTGTGAATTTTAATAACGCGAAAGTTCGACCGCATAAAGAACTCTAAGTGGTGAGAGGAGCAAGGCATGCCTTGCATGCTCTCTTTTCACATAAGAACGTCATATTTCAAGGCTGAGACTACCTTTTTTATATCTTTTTTACGATTTGAGCCTAAAAACGTCCTTAACAATTCTGCCACCAAAACTTTTTTCTTCACTAAAATTGGGCGTTCGACCGGATTTAGAGGCCATAATGAGTCACAACCTCCAATATGGAAATGTGCATACAAATAACACCACAGACAATACATTTCCTCGTGAGACATTGTTTAGCCATTGACTAGAGAAAACACGGTTCAAGGACGTTTAATAACGTATTTTAAACATGATTTAACCGTTGTTTATCGAGACAACGTCTAAACCGCGGCCCTGCCCTAAACACGATTTAACTTAGAGACTTCGTTTAAATAACCGGCCCCATGTGTATGTATGTATTACCAAAACTTGGCAAATATCGTTACCATTACATTATACTGACAAGATTCTTAACTTACCGAGAGAAATAGACCGTCAAACCTGCGTTCAAGACTTCCAAGATGTTTTCAGAACGTATTACTCCTCTGGAAGTTGAAATTTTCTTTAAAAAAAATATTTTGAAACTTTCGCTTGCATTCACTGACTTTGCTTCGAGTATCGTAATCAAGATAATCAAGTACCAATTGTCAAGGGCTCGAAACCAAACTGTTTTGAACTATTGTGACGAAAACCTAACCAAAGCAAAAGCAATGATCAGTGACGAAGTCATAAAAAGGAAGTAATTTATCACCAGCCAGTGCTGTTAGCAGTGCTAAAATAATGTAAAAGAAATAGACCTTATGTTTCTAATCTGTATAAATTACTTTTTGTTATTCTTCAATCAAGACAACTCGTGAACCTTCCATAACATGAATTAATCGAAAAGACGGAATTTTCACAACTTAGCAGTCTTCCGCTTCATAACCTGTTTCCGTGCAAGAAGTCAATCAAATAATTACTAAAGGCAGAGGGTATAACTAGTTTAATATGGCCATATCTGTATTGTCTTATCTTTATCTCATTTTATACGTCGAGGTTCATTGGCGTTTATGAACTTTTGTAGTTAGCAGATTAAAATCAGTAACTGCTTTTAAGTAATATGCAGTAACGAGTGCTCATAATTAATATTAATGCTTCACAGTTTTCGAAACTTATTGTTTCCTGTAATGCTTGTGTCTTTGTCAGCAGTTAACTTTGTGTTAGAAACAGAGAGTGAGAATGTGTGACTGATATCTGGGAGGCACGTACTGAAGCGTTAGTTGGTAAAGGGCCATCAATTTAACGGTCAACGTCGAGGAGCAGGACGATCAACCGTGTCTTTAGGCCAATATTAACCCTCGAATCACAAATTCTGCGACATTGGACAACATCGTAACGAACAAACTCAATTGAGCGTGGTAATTAAATCTACTTTCGATCCTTTTTATTAAAGATAAAAAATTCAGGAATTAAAAGAGAAGAATAGGGAGAAGGAAGTTATACGAATTGAAAAACGTTCTTCGAGGAGGTCGATACTTGGCTGTGAGAGATATATGGGTGAGTTTATTCGATGGTTCAGCTTTTCAACAGCGTAGCATAATCCTTTTTTTTCCTTATTTTAAAGAGATCTAAGCGCAATTTTTTTTATTAAAAAAAATTATGACCTCTCAGCTTCCTGTCAGAGAAATATTTGGATAAACTTAAAACCAGGATGTTATAATTTGCGTTTCTAGAAAACCGCTCTGGCCACGGTAACGATGTTTACTGGTCCGATACAAGTCATCTTGGTCTTGTGGCTTGTTACACCATGTGAGAGTGACGTTTGCAGCCAAAAAATCTGTCAATGTACCAAGTTCGGTAGGACTCGGCTAATAGTAAAATGTCGAGTTCATGGATACATATCAACCAGAATCCCAAGCAATACAGTAGAACTGTAAGTGATTAAGAAACTTCGCCATCCTTTGTCCTGCAGGTTCTGTTATCGTCTTCTTTGTGTTCATATTCGTCAGGAAACTAATACTTTATAGACACCTCTTGGAAGAATGTGGTTTTGATGTTGCAAGCTTGCTAGGGAGTCTTGGTTAGTGCCAAGAAAGCACAAGAAGCAGAGATGATTTCCGAACAAACGATCAAAAAAGGAAAAAGGAAAAAACACATGATTTGAAATTAATCATAAGAAAAGTCATACAGACTGCGAAAAACACAACGATTCGTGGAATAATATAGTTTCGTGTGCATTTAAACTAAAATACTCTTAATTTAGATAATCGTTTATTTATTTTTCGAACCTTACCTCCTCTAAAATTCAAATTTATGTCCATTACCATTTTCTAACAGTTCAATTTTTACCCAGATATCTTTCAAGGTGTTCGTTGGGCTCAATTACAGAAGACACCTTCAGGAACCTGGCTGTTTTAAAGAAATTGTAGGTCCTAAATGAAATTGAATTTTAAAAAAATAACCTTTAATTCTTAAGAAATGTAAAAAAATTTAATATCCGTTCATGAGAAATTCGTATTGAATCGAAAAGATTTGTCTTATAGCAAAGAACGCTTTTTTTTCAAAGTTAAAAGAAAGACAAAAGCAGTTTTTTAAAAACGTGCGTATAATGAAAGTAAGTTCGTGTCTGTACGTGAGGATAGTTTGGTGGCGGAGCAGAAAATTCGCACAGTCCTGCCAAACCTCATTAAACTAAAGGAAGCAGTGGTCAACATACTGCATGTATCTGGCATATTCAGAAAAAAAATATCAAGATTGTGAAAAAGTTTGAAAATGGTCTTGAGATATCCCCGGGCCACCTACGAACGCGAAGAAATAAATAAGTTGACCATCTGATTACAAGTTATATCTGAGTACTCATTAATGGTTCAATAGTTGACTTACTTTCTATGAGCTGGTAGATTTCGACCGTATTTAGTGATCATTAGGATACTAATATCGTCCTTCTAACGATGAGTAAAACAGGAAAGGGCAAGTAATCTTATGTAAAGGGAACATTTTTCTTTTGGAAAATTTCATGTTTATTTTTTCGAGAATCAATTGATTTTTTTTGTAATGAATTCTCTCTCTTTTCCTAGGGACTTATCAAATAATTCCCTGCGATACATTCCTCAAAACACTTTCCGCAATATGAAGAAACTGGAAATAATGTAAGGGAATTCCTAATGATTTAATTTTTAAAAATAATATGCAAAATGGTTGGAAAAAAACAAGTTGAAGAGCGTTTGCCATTTTTTTTTCCATTATCATCTCGTTAGGCTGATGACATCACTACCCTTGTAGAGTTTACCACCGTTTTTAATTATTTCGACTTTCATAAGCTTGGTAATGATAAATTAACAACTATTCACCTAAGTGGGGGTGGCTAGAAGTGGATATTTACCGGGCTGTGAAGGGGCGAGGTAAATATCCATCACTAGCCACTGACACTAGGGTGAATATTTGTTTTAGCTAGTATGTAGTAAAACAGTGAGATAGTTAAGCGCATCATTTTTTTTGTCGATACGTGGGCGGGTGGTATTCTACAAATCCTGCAATCTGATTGGCTTCGAGAGCGAGCAGTATTCTCCCTTCCGGCCTGCTCACAGCGGGCGGTATCCTAACTGTTGCGTGTTCAGTCGCCTACTACATCCATAGCTTAGTTCCAAATTTTCATAAATATATATATTTTTTTTTTCGGCTGGGAAGCATTTTTAAGCAAAGACTTCGGTCACGGCCTTAAGCCGATTAATAACTTAATAACTTGAAAATTCTCTCTCTCTCTCTCTCTCTCTCTCTCTCTCTCTCTTAAATCACTTTCGTTTTTCATGACATTTGTTATCATTTCTTCCCAGATATCTTTCCAACAACTCAATTTCAGGGAGTTTTTACCTTCCAGAAAACGTTTATCATCTGTGAGTTATATTTGATGAAGTGCTTCTCAAAGCTGTTTGCCACAGAATCAAAGTACATCTAGGCATAGTTAGTAGAGGAGACTAACTATGATCTAGGTTTACTACTAAAATATTGTTGTAAGCTTCTATTCTCCAAATATTATGAATAAAATGATGCTGAGCTGCTTACATTAGCAGCGTAGTATAAATGAGGCTGCTGAACCATTTTAGCCCACTGTCCAACACTTATAAGTTGATTTTGGATATTGCATTTGTTTAGGAAAATCAATCACAACTTACTATCAATTGCTGATGTGAAGGTCATTCTCAAAGGATTAAAGCAGCTTCGCACACTGTAAGTGTCATTTTTTTAAGATGAGTTGAAAATCACAAAAAATTATTTTCGAATGCTTTAAACATATAATCGTTCATCACATTTTTCATCAATAGTTCGTCACAGTTTATAAAGAATTAAAATTTCACACCTCATATCGGCCTATATGTAATTGGCAGATAGTTGCGACTCATTTCAAACGGTTTACTTTACAGAGACCTTAGTGGAAATCCACTTGGACCTTCCTTGCCATCAGACATCTTCACTGGGTTTAAAAATATGGCATATCTGTGAGTTCAGTGGCTCCACAAATCACCAACTAATGAGAAGTATCATATTGAACATTTGCTTCACAATGTAATGACATTCAAAGTAAATCCTGTAGCCATGTCCGAGAAAACTAGCTTGGTTGTTCATTTCAACAATTTAGGAACAGTTAGTTATGGCCCGACAGAGAAGCGTACTGAAAAACTATAAAGGAATGTTCCGCTCTAACTGTCCAATTATGGATACTCTGATAAATTTTTAGAGTGCATTCTTCAATCAGCCAATACCACCCTTGAAATGTTTGAACAACAGTCTCCATTAAACTTCTCTACCACGCTGACTTTTCATATTACTTTTGTAGTTCCGTGACTGCTTGCAACTTGGAAAATATCGCCAATGGAACTTTTCGAGAAATGCGATACCTAAACGGACTGTAAGTGGTGTTAATCATTTTTTCCCTTTTTTAAGACATTTGAGCATAACACCCGGCATGTCTTGGAGAGATTGTGTCTAAATAGCTAAGTAATTTCCTTTCCGCATCTAAGAAATGACAACAAAATTTTACCGTTTGTCATGTTTCAAAAAAGTACATCGACCGTTCATAAACTAGTAATAAATGCGCTAGGAATTCGACTATGCACGCCACTGTTTTAGAGATGACTTTGTAGCCAGGCCGCAATTGTACATGGGCTGGTTTTTAAAGGCAGAATCCCTATTGGTATTAAGAAAATTGATTTTTTGGGGGAGTAACTCCAAACTGTTTACACAGATCACCTAGAGATAGAAATGAAAATGAAGAGGAAGCTAAAAAATATTCAGAATTTGGGGGTTCATCGTCGAAGTTTTAGCGAATTTGTTCAGAATTAGTAATGTTATTCTTTGTTATTCAAGTTGCAATGTAATTCTAAGTCTGAGCTCAACAAAGGGAAAAGATCTGGTGATAGGTTTTAGTACGAACACTTAACTTGTCACATCCTTGACCTCGGACCATTACAGACAGGTTTATTTGCGATAAGATCAACCTGGAATGAGCGGCATCACGTTATTGCATGAAATTTGTCCGTTTTCAGTGATCTGTCTTCCAATAAGCTAACTCATATACACCAGGGTACAGTGGAAGGACTTACGGACTGGCTCAA